TATATTGTTCTTATTTTTTTTTTTATTATTATTTGTTTTTCCTGGATCCAAGTGTAGTATATCCTTACCATTGATATCGTAATCTTGATGAATACACGAAATATCTCATGATCCTTTGATCTTGCATACTTCGGTCGCAGTTCGTTCCGAAGCTCTACGAACCTAATGAGTATAGATACAAAGAAATTAAGAATTAATATCATTTTATTTTCAAATATGAAAAAGAAAATTCAAGAACGACATAGGAAAATACAACATTAATATCAACAATTTTCTTCTTTATTAAAGAAAAAAAAGAATGGAAAAGAAAACTGCGCTTACATGCAAAATTGAATGAAGAACTTGATGTCTTTGGCACTCTCCAGGTCCATGTCTTTCAGATGAATTCCAGCAATCCTCACAGTAAGGTTCTCCCACGAAAACCCCACAAAACAATGTAGGATACTTACCATTGTGTATCCCACACGTGCCCCTCTCTTTGTAGAATGACATTTTCAACCATGGCAACAACCAACCGAGCATCCAGATACTGGGCATTATCGTTTTCACCTATAATAATCGTTTTCACATACAATAAACTCTTAACTATACTATAAGTAAAAAACAAGTTGTATTTTGCAGAGAATTTTTTGATAACAAAATAAGTAAAAGAGAATGCTGCTATATTTGTAGATTTAGAAAAACATGTATTTGACATTGCCCAATTGGTTAGAGATTAGATAATGTTCAACTTATTAGGTCTCACATTCACATTCCTAATTGATTAAGGTGTCAATGAAATTCTTTCCGAAATTTCCCTCCGCCTAAGTATACATAGAAAGTTAAAATGGGGGCATTTCCCAATAAATCCCCAAACCCTTTTTCACTTTCAAGATGAGTCTCTAACTTGTTATTTTTCCAATGCACTCGTTAATTATACAATTTTTTCTACTTAACTCCCCAACCTTAAAAAATACATAAATCAATTAAGAAAAAGTTACATCAACCCACAATATCAACTTTTCTCATTTTTTAATTATTTTTCTTTCTACCTACCCAAAATTCAAAGCCCTTTGCCTCATCTTTTCCTTCCCCTTTCCGTTTGACTTTCTATTTTATTTTCTTGCAGGTTCAGCTTTCTGGCGAACGGCGTAGACGTGAAGAAATGCGACGACAAGATTTCCAGCGAAGGACGTGATCCGGCAATGGACAGACGACGGCCTCTCCGACAAAATTTCGTCTTTCTTCGACAATATTTGGCCGTTTTCCTGTGAAAAATTGAGGTGATCAGTAATTATGTATTTTTTGAGGAGATTTTGAAACTCGTCTTTTACTCATAATTTTTTTTTAATATTTTGTTTAGGATTCAATTTTGAAATTGTTCTTTATATTCACCCTAAAACAAATTATATGATGACAATAATTTCTTTGCTCATATGTTCCAAAAATTTATGTTATTATTAGGTTATGTTCACCCTAAAACAAAAACTAAGGTGACAATGATTATTGTATCACTAATGTATAATTATGGTATCTCTGTCTGACTATTTAGTACCTCTTTTATCATTATTTGATGCCAGTTGTGCTGGAATATTTGAAGTTTAATTTTATCCAACTCATTTGGAATTTAATATTATTGTTAGATACAATAGAAGGGGTACAAACTAATATATTAAGGAGTTGTACCTACAATAATGAATTGTTTGTTTCCTCTATACATGTCGGATTAAGTCTTGAATAAATGTATAACCTGATTGGGAAGAAATGTAAATTTAAGATCCTTCATGTTTTGCTATATTGCGTCCACTGGAAAAAAGCAAGTGAGTTTGTCCGATGGTAACGATGTCAAAAACATATTTCGATTGCACGTGTGTTAGAAAGTAAGTATAGTAGATATACTTGTTGAAAAAAATAAAAGATCAGATCATGGAGTTGAATCTATCTCGATGAGCAGGTAATGTTGCTTTTGTATAATATTAATGAATCCATTATTAAAATATAAATAATTGATTCACAGTCAAGACAACATTGAACAACCTATTGGTAAAAGACTGTAGTGTGATTTTGATTCAGTTGATCTTTAACTGATGAATCACACTAGTACTTTCTAAGTATTGAATGGACCTACGGAGAATAAGATTATTAGAATACTGACCAAGTAAATAATCTAGACCTCAGTAATTGATTCGTTCTCTTAAGTCGTAAGACAATAAAAGGGCATCGTATTCGGTACTTATTTATTTGATTTACTATGAGTTAGACTTACTTTATTAGGTCGACATACTCTATATTTTGGTAAATAATGCCGAGTGCATGATGTGTCTTTAAGATTGTTTACGATCACCGTATCCCAGGAAGGGCTGGGTTGATGGCATTCCCGAAATGAGTTCAAGAAGGATCATTATGGCAAGCCCAGCCGGCGGATTAATTTCCGACATAATGGATAATGAATTGAGTGGTACTATTTTCGGATAAAAAGAAATTGATTAATTTTATTGTTAGTAATTAAAGAATCAATGGACGTTATATCGTAATCACGAGGAAGGTAAATCGAGCAATTAGTCAATAGACAAGTGGAGACGAATTAATAGTAATTTGGAGCTAAATATGGAGAGCAATAATATTACTCCAGTGGAATGTTTTATTTTTTATTTCAATTAGGCGAAACTAGTTTTATTGTCTATTATTATTAATTTCTTAATTAGAAGTATATAAAATTCCTTCTAGAATATTACTAAAGGTTATAAGACTTGAGAGTCTTCTAGAAGGGGTAATTAAGTTGGAAGGAATTAGGCCTTCTAGCGGGTAAGTAGTCACTTCTTCAAATCAATAAGTCTTTGCAAGTTGAATATGACTATGTCCCAGAAGGGAAATGAGTTGGAGAATAAAAGGTTTCCCAACTCTAATTGGAAAACCCATATTAAGCACCTCCTTAGGGTCCCTGTTGTAGCATATAAATAACTAAGTCCCCTAGCCTCTAAGAGGTTGAAATACACGTTATTCTTCACGCATAAGGCTGAATAATTTTGGTCAAAATTGCAAGAATAATATCGAGTGCTTCTTTGAGAGAAAATTCGGATAAAACCGAGAGGTCTTAAAAAAAGAAAAGCGAGAGGCTTTGAGAAATCCAATTAATCGCTCCACTAAGATTTATTGGAGATCGTGTAAGGTCATACGATAGAAGAATCAATGTCATTTATTCGCATCCCGATGAATTTATAGGAATCCCGTGCAATATATTCGATCCCTAAATACATATCTGTAATTTATGGAGTTGTCCGTTGGCCACCAACTTTGGAGAGGATGATTACCGCCGAAAACCGCACGTGATGGTGTCGCCAGCGCACCGTCCAGAGCTCAAGCGATCTCCGGCGACCTGCCGGAAACCACCCAGTGCGGCCAGGCCCGCAGCCGCGCCCAGCTCGTGTGTCCAATTCGCGCATAAGCCCAGTTCGCGTCTGCGTCCCAGCATATGAGGAGTCCAGCACGTGAAGTCCAGTGTGAAGCCCAAGCAGCGTGTGGCCCAGTAGCATGTGGGAGGCCCAATTTGCGCGAAGCCCATCAGGGCGAGAGAAGGAAAAAACACGCGGGACGCATCAACCCACACGGCTCGCACTCCCTCACTGTCTTCAGCCCGCGCGGCCCTCCAGAAGCCCGCGTCCCTGTCCGCATTTTTCAGCGTGTCCAGCCCATATGCATGGGGCCCAAAGGCTTGCTCTCATGTGGCCCAACGAGAAAATCAGGCCCAGTACGATGGACTAGGACTGAGCATGGGACTCGGAAAATTCTGAACCGTTTTGAAAACCGAATCAAAATAACTCCGAACCGAAAAATAACCATTGATCGTTTGACTTTCTCCAAACCGAAAAAATAATTGGTACGGTTTTGGAGATTTCACAAATATTCGTACCGAGAACCGAACAGAACCGTCCCGTATAGTACCGAAGCAAAGAACCAAAATTAAGAACTTAATTATAAAAATAGATGTGTGATATTAATATATTTTATGTCAACTTTGATCCAATAATTTGAAAAATTTTAAAATGGAAATAAAATATAGTTATAACGATTAAGTTTCATTTAAATTTCATGCTTAGTAATACTTGAGATTTTTAATTGAATTTTCCTGGTTTAAGAAAAATATTTAAAATCGTACGAAAGGTTAATTAAATATTATTTTAAAAAAATATTTAAACATTACTTAAATTTGTCGATATTAGTCTTATTCTACTTATAACTAACATGGTATGGAAGGTAAAAGAAATATTACTTTAATAAAAACTATATTATATGTTGTTTGAATTTTGAATTTTCAATGTAAGTTGCACAAATTTAGACTTAACTAAAATCCAGAGTTATTTCTCCAGTTGATTTAAAAATAAAAACGTTAGTATAATAAAGTATTGATAAATGTTGGATTTAAATATATATATATATATAAATTAAAATACAACTAGGTGGCCATTCAAAAAAATTTTAAAAATAATTAGAAATCTCCGAATATCCGAACCGAACCGACCCGTTATGATAGTCTCGAGAACCGAACCGAACTGAACCGATTAATGAAAATATCCGAACCGAACCGAACCGATTTTTTGGTACGGTTCTGGAGATTGAATTTTAGTAATCTCCGAAACCTACCGACCCATGCTCACTCCTACGATGGACTGCAGCCCACATTCGACCAACTCAGGCCGAAGGAGTTCCAGACCGGCCCAGATGGTTCAGCAACACTCCAAACTGGCCTAGCTCCATCCAATAGCCTCGGTTCTTGCCTAAGGAGGTTTTCGAGAAGTCCGAGCAGTCTGACTAACCTACCGAAGGCCCGATACGATCCAACGAGCCTAACGAGCTACCAGAGACGCATTGATGAGGCTAAGTTTGGCTGCCCAACGGCAACGGACTCTGCGGTTCAGATGATCTCCTACAGAGAAAATCAGCAAAAATTTGAATTTGTAAGTCCTAATCCTAACTATAGATTTCGTGGCATTAGGATTTATTTTTCAATAGATTTAAATGTGCGCATAGCCGACGTTCCTAATAGAACCCAACACCACCTGCAGCCATCGACACAGCCTCGTGCGTGCTGTTAAGCTCGCCTCGGCTCGCTTGCGCCTGGCAGTACGCTGTCGGCAAGCGTGCTCGCATGTGCATAACATCACGTAGCCGTTAATCGCAGGTTCGCGGTTGGCTCGCCTCGTCTCTTCGGGTTTTCCGGATTATTTTAAATATTAAAAAAAATTACATAATACATGAATGATCTAGTAAAGAAATTAAACTGTGCGGTGTCCCATCGCGCGAATAATTTATTACAATCATTCACCGACATAAAAATTCAAGACACATCCGAGGCTTATAAAACATACATGAATTATAAACATACATTCGGGGAACAATAGTCGATTTAAGAATACCTGCAAACAATTTATTTGTAATTCTAATCTACTATGTGTGGTGTCTGTACACAAATAAT